AATAAACTTCTGTTCGTTCAAGCCATCCACTTATGGTATTTCTGTTATAGCAGCACTAGATGACTAAGACATATACATTACAGCATTTTATAATGCATACTATGGGATATATAAACTAGTATTCCATAGTATTTCTACTTCTTTAATAAGTCACCTAATAGCTCTAATGGAGTCCCTGGACAGTACAAACTGCTCAGCTGCTGACCAGAAAGTTGGTGGTTCAAGTCCACCAGAGGTGCCCAAAAGGACCCGGTGCTCTACTTCCGAAAAATCAGCATTGAAAACCCTATGGTGTTGAGTTGGTGTATATTTTGTTATGTATATTTTTACCACCAAAAAAAAAAAAAAAACCTCACGGAACACAGGACACACACGTGGACACTGTAAGTCAGAATTGATTCAATGGCAACTGGCAATAGTTCTAACCTGGGGCTCTCACTAATGATCCTGTGTGTGGTATAATGAATTACTTAATATGGCCCTTCTAGCCATGGTCTTTGTGACTCATACACAATGATTGAGTGGGATTATGCAAATAAGGTATATGGAGCCTGTGATGTTTGGGGTTATGTGTCTCCTTGGCTAGGCCATGATTCTCAATATTGTATGGTTGTCCTCCATTTTGTGTTGTGGATCCTGACCCCTACATGTTGATGAGGCAGGATTGGTGTAGAGTGTGGCTTGGGTCACAGCCTTGCAGAAGAACGTGACTCAAGTCCCACCCTCACTCAAGTCCCACCCTTCCCTGTGGTGTGGCCTGCATCTAAGGTATATATGTGAACAACCTGGCAGGGCTCTCTCCCCCTCTGCATTTGGATTCTGAGTCCTGTTCGTGATCAATTGACCTCTGGTTTTTGGGACTTGAGCCAGAGGCCTGCTGTCTGACCTGCCCATTCTGGGATTCACCAGCTTCCGTAGCCTTGTGAGCCAGCAGCCTGTGGTCTGAACTGCCAGTTTGGTTTTGTCAGCTCCTGCAGCCACGTGGGTCAGAAGCCTACGCCTGACCCAGGGATTTGGGACTTGCCAGCCTCCACAACCGCGTGAGCCATTTCGTTTGTAAGGTTCATGAGTTCTGTGAGACATTGCAGCAAATTAGGGAACCCAAAGACGGGAGGGAGAGTACTGACGGGAGAGGGAGTAAAGAGATTATGGAATGGTACAGCAATTTGGGAAAGCTGGACATTTGGAACATCTTTAACCTCTGCCTCATAGGAACTAGCTTTGTGCTGATCCTTGTAAGAGGAATTGTTTACAGTGATGACTATTTTTGTATGTGACCACTTATGAATCTGGACGGAAGTTTTGCTAGAATATATATGAAGGATTATAGAGCATGCGCATATTTTATTTCACAGTATTTATCTTCACAAAGTATTTCATTTCACAAAGTATGGCCAAAACCAGAAGTGACTGCATTAATTCACACTCCCTCAAAAAGTACGAGATCCATCCCTTTGCATCTTTGCTAACATATGGTTTTACCACGCTAAATTTTTCTACCTGATGGGTGTAAAAGGGTATCTTATCAATTTGCATTTCTCTGATTTCTTACGGAGGATCAATTTATACTTGTTCGCATTCAGGATTCCCCTTCTGTGATTGCTTAATCATGTACTTTGCCCATTTTTTCCTTTTAGTTTACTGTCTTTTCTTACTGAAGAGTGGGTTGTACAGTCTAGATATTAACCAATTATTTGTTTTGAATTATGCATATTAGACTTGGTTAGAGCAGTATTGTGGATTATATGCAGAACGTGGCATCAGGATTGGAGGAAGACTCATTAACAACCTGCAGTATGCAGATGACACAATCTTGCTTGCTGAAAGTGAAGAGAACTTGAAGCAGTTACTGATGAAGATCAACGACTACAGCCTTCAGTATGGATTACATCTCAACATAAAGAAAACAAAAATCCTCACAACTGAACCAATAAGCAACATCATGATAAATGGAGAAAAGACTGAAGTTATCAAGGATTTCATTTTACTTGGATCCACAATCAATACCCATGGAAGCAGCAGTCAAGAAATCAAACGATGGATTACATTGGGTAAATCTGCTGCAAAAGACAAAAGACCTCTTTAAAGTGTTAAAAAGCAAAGATGCCACCTTGAAGACTAAGGTGTGCCTGACCTAAGTCATGGTGTTTTCAATTGCTTCATATGCATGTGAAATCTCGACAATGAATAAGGAAGATCAAAGAAGAATTGATGCCTTTGAATTATGGTGTTGGGGGAAAATATTGAATATACCATGGACTGCCAAAAGAACGAACAAATCTGTCTTGGAAGAAGTACAGCTGAAATGCTACTTAGAAACAAGGAAAACGAGACTTCATCTCACATACTTTGGACATGTTATCAGGAGGGATCAGTCCCTGGAGAAGGGCATCATGCTTGGTAGAGGGCCAGCCAAAAAGAGGAAGACCCTCAATGAGATGGACTGACATAGTGGCTGCAACAATGGGCTCAAGCATAACGATTGTGAGAATGGCGAAGGACCGGGCAGTGTTTCATTCTGTTGTACACAGAGTTGCTATGAGTCAGAACCGACTCAATGGCACCTGACAACAATGTATATTTTGTATGTCTGTCTCCTACATGTCTTTTTTGTTCACTCAATTTTCTATGTAGTTTGTTACTTACTCAGTCTCAAACTCACCCCCCACCATGACACATACACCCAATTTCAAAATCTTTCATTAATTTAAAAACCTCAGATTTTCATTGTTTCACCTCTTTGGCGACATCTCTTCTGGAGCCTTCTGACATGCTGCAGGCTGGACCACTTGCTCTATTTAATGCCATATAGCACAAAACTTCATCTTTCTGGGGATTCTCTTCACTTTTTGAGTTGGATCCCTTGTTTTCTAATGATGAGAGATCTTTGAATAGAGTCACACATCCTCCAGAAGTTTCCCAAGAATGAGTACGTAAGAGACAAATGTTTCAGATCTTTCATGTCTAAAAATGTCTTTATATGCTCCCACACTTAATTCATACTTTAAATGCGTATAATTCTAGACTGAAAATAATTTCCCTTCAGTATTTTGAGAGTATTGCCCCATTGTCTCCATATGATGTGCTTTGGCATGGGTTTATTTTCATCCTTGGTGTCTAGCACATGATGGGTCCTTTCAGATAAGAAATTACTAGCCTTCATTTCCGGGATGTTTTCTTGAATTATTTCATTGATGATTTCTACCATTCTAGTTTTATCTTTCTCTTCTATTTTGTATCATCATTTTGTCTTTTTGGTTTACTTTTTTTGAGATTTCCTTAACTCTCTCTTCCAAATCTTTTATAGTTTTTCATTTCTGTTCTCTTATTTTTTAACTTCCCCAAACACTTTCTTATTTTGTTTGTTCCTCTCGTATACATCCTGTTCTGGTTTTATGGATACACTATATAAGTTCATATTTCTAAAGATCTTGAAGATTTGTGTTGTGTTGTCACTAAATTTTCATCTCCCTGCATAGTCTCTATTTCTTCCAAATTGCTTCTTTTGTTTGTATACGTCTCCATCATTCATGTTAAAGGCTTTCGTCAGATGTCTGGTGATCTTTGCCTTAATTTACATTTTACAATGGAACTCTTAAAAGACTGATTGGGAAAAAATCAATTGCCTTCCTATATGCTAGAAGAGTTAGAATATAATAAAAAAGTGTGAAGACTTGTTCTACTAAATAAAGCTACAGCATTTAAAAATATGACATCGGCACAAATATAGACAAATAGTTAATAGAAGGGAATACAAAGACCTGGCACAGGGGCATATGTGTGTGTGCATATATATATCCATCCATCCATCCCTCCATCTATATAAAAAAAACCCACCGCTGTCAAGTCAGTTCTGACTCATAGTGACCCTACAGGACAGAGCAGAACTGCCCCATAGGGTTTCCAAGGACAGGCTGGATTCAAACTGTGACCTTTTGATTAGCAGCCGAGTTCTTTAACCACTACGCCTCCAGGGCCCCACGTATATATATGTATATATATACATAGAGAGAGAGAGAGAAATTAGATAGACTAGATGGACAAATAGATACACAGATAGGTAGACAGATAGATAGAGATATAGATATACAAATACAGAAATAGCGTCCAAATGGGCCACTCCAATTTGGAAAAAATGAAATTGGCTCCCTGATTCATACCATACAACAAAGATAAATTCCAAGTGGATTTAAAAACTTAAACGTAAAAGGCAAAACTATAAAACTTGTAGAGGATACTATAGGAAAGTATCCTTTTAACTCTGAGTTAAGGAGATTTCTAAAAGACAAAAAAAGCACTAACCATAAAGGAAAAGATCTAACAACTCTGTTCACCAAAAGAAATAATAAAGAAAACAAAAAGACAAAATTCCATAGCTATCAGCTCCTCTCCTATTTGTTCTTGTGATATGCCCTTTTAGTAAAATCCCTTGTCATTTCAATGAAGATTTCAGAAGGAATGGAGATAAATACATTTGTAAAATCTGCCATCTTTAACCACAGTACTAAAAACTTTTTTAATGAGAAAAATATTCTTCTTTTTATTTTAATGTGTGTTGGAGAGAGAACAAACGGAACTTCAGGAGAACAGAAGGGTGAATATTATGCTAGTTATGTTTTCTCTAACACACATTAAATAAAAACTTAGCCAGTAAAGCAAGAAATATTTGCCCATGTATTTCCTCTAATTATCTTATGAACTATCCAGTCATAATGATCCCAAACTTAGGGAAACACTTATCCCCCACTTCCACACTCGCCTCCTCCTTTTTTGGAATCTGATGCATCATCCCCTTCTGGAAAATTTCTAGGAATTATTGCTAGTTATTTCCTCTGTAAGGAAAATCACTTTTACTAATGTTTGACTCTTACTTATCAAATGGTTTTGGAAGTGGCACAAAAAACTAAGAAACAAGGTGAAGGTTGTGGTTCAAGATAATTTGCGAAGCCCTGGATGGTGCTAGAAAGTAAGACAGCCTTGACAAAACCAAGACTGAGGAATTAGCATAAATAAAGGTTTTATTAGTCAGTTTAGGTGAGCGACATACTGACATACCACCAATTCTCTGCTCTGTACACCCAAGCCCCTGGTGCAGCAGGAGAAGCTAAGCCCACTGGTGGTGGGTAATATGTGGGAGGTGGAAAGGACCTGAAGGCCTCTGAGGGTTAACAAGTCTACCGGAACCGGAACCAACGTCCTAGGAATAAATCCAGGATGGAAGAAGTGTCATCCAGGGCTGAAGGTCTTGGTGATTCTTGATCTAAGGAAGAAAGACATACACATAAATAGGCTAAATGAGAGAGACTTAGGCAGGGACAAAACAGAGGAATAAAGTTAAAGGTTAAAAGAAAAAGCATTCCCCATCCTAAAGTTGTTAAGAAATGGACCCCTCTGGTTCATACTCTTCACTTACCATCTCTAGGACTGCCGTCGGCTTCCTGACGGGTCACTGTGGTCTCTGTCCGGCCCTCACTGTCCACCACAGTCCGGTGCTCCTCCACTGTCTACAAGGAGAAGTCCCCACCATTCACTAAAGGTGAGTTTAGTGGTTTCTTTACACAGATCTGTTTCCATGGCACCCCCTGGCCACAGTTCCCTTTTCCCCTCTCTCCCAGCTCACCCCATCTGGCTTAGTGATCTTGGTCACAGAGACACTCTTGAAATAGGATCGAGGCTGGGGCTGTAGAACTGGGCCAAGGCCCTCCTGGGAAACCTGGGAATCCAGATCTGGAAGGGCAGAGAAATGAAGAAACAGTAGAGGAACAGTACAAACGAAAAAAAGGGAGAAGTGTGAGGAAGAAGCTTCAGAGAGGGAAAACAGGGAAATCCAGGAGAACAACAGAGGGCTAGTGAATGTCCCATCCTAGACTCACCATTGTCCTCTCGGGCTCTAGGATGGGGGGTCACAGGCCACATATCATCAAACTGCAGAAGAGGCCAAAGTAGGTGAAAAGACATCTTTTGCAAGGTCACAGGCCCAAACTAGTACCAAGTTCCAAAACCACCTTTCCCCAGGAGGAAGAACCCCATTCAGTATAGTTCTATTTACTCACCACTTTCTCTTTCCTGGCTGTTTTATGTATTCTTGTACCAAGAAGCCTTCCTGACCTGATCCTTCCCTGTCCTCCCTAACAACTCCTCTAGGCCAGTGATTTTCATTTTTTAAAAAGAGAGACAGTAGAATTCCCACTTCCCCCCAAAGAACACCCTACAAAAAGCTTATTATAGAAAACAGATAAATAAGCCAAGTGGAGGGTCTAGGACTCCAACTCAAGTCTGTCAGATTCCAACAAAGACTCCAGTCTTTGCACACAGGTTCTCATTTCAGGGCAAGATGGGATACTCACCCTATGAAAAGGTCTTTGGGAGCCCCAGTCTGGTCCTGGTTTTTGGGATTCAGTCCCTGCATCACTCTCCAAGACCCCCCCAAAGATCCTGGGCTGGTGACTATCTGGATACTTAAGCATTGAATCCCGAAGTGTCTCTTCCCTCCGCCGTCTCTCCCCAGCTGTCTCTGACTCAGGACCTGGAAGTTCTACAGAAAGTGGGAGGTCAACGCTGGCAGTGGGAAAGGACTCGGGCTCTTTAAACCTCCCTGAAGTCATCAGTCTTCTCATACTTCCCATCCCCTACTACTCCCTACAGGCTCCTTATTTCACCCACCAACCCATTAGAACCCATGGGATCCCCCTCAAGGGCAGCCACACACCAGGTGGGCGAGAAGGCAAGGTCCAGGCCTCCATCTCACTGAAGATGCTATTGAAATCCCGTATTAGGTCATCAAAGCCGAAGTTACGGTGGAAACGCATCCCTCCTTCTGGGCTGAAGCTGAAGCCAAATTCCTCTGGGGGCTGGGGATCCCCAAACCTGGGGCTTCCATAGCCCCATGTGGCTCCTCCTCCTTCTTCTTCCTCCTCATCATCCTCATCTTCGTCTCGAGTCATCCCTCCAAAAAAGGGATCTCTGTGGCTGGGGGTGGGGGTAAATTGGCCACCAAGGTTTCAGCACCAGCAAGCACTTAGCCATAGAATCTAGTCATGGGTGGCAAAGTAGACAAGAGCGGGGTCTGGGCAGCTGGGAGAAGTTAGAGGACTGGCTGTGGAATCCAAGCCTGACAGCTGTTAGTATTTTCGTTTAGTTGTTATCACAGTCAACCCTCATCCTGCAGTTTACCCCAATCTCCCTCCCTCCGCCTTTTCTTCAGTGTCTGCCAGCCTCCCCCCACCCCGGTCCCAAGGTTATGCTCGCTTGCTAATCGTCCTCTTCCCCAGATCCCCATTGTCTTCCCCGCCCAGGCGCCTGTTGCATCACCCCAGGTTGGAGAAAGGCTTAGGTTGCCGTTTTTCCTCCACTTAACGACTACCTTGGTTACTGTCGCAGGGTGAATGCCGAACGTTGCGACTTCGATCCTCTCCACAGTTGAAGGAGTGCGGAAGAGGATGTTTTTTCAAAAATAGGGTATTAGGGGCCGAATTCCCCTCAGAAGATTCCCCCCTTGTCCGACCCGGACGCACTCTCACCTCCGAGGTCCAGAAAAGCCGAAAAAGCCCCGGAAAAGGTCAAAGAGGCTCATTCCCGTATTGGGATTCGAACCTTTGAAAACCACCCGCGGCCCATTCGCACCGGTAAGCAGCCAGCGTTTCGCTGCCGGAAAGTGAGTGAAGCGTCACACCACGCTGCCGGAAAGCAAGCCTGCGACCCACATACTGTCGTAAAATGACCGTAAACCGACCGTAGAAAGGGAGGCGGGGCGGACGGTCGTCCTCAAACTCGGAAGACTTTTACCTTTTACCTCCCCTTTCAGAGACCAGTTTCTTGTGAAGGGACTGGTGGCACCGCATTTTTATTTCCCAGAGGTGACCCCCTTCCGATGTCAGACTCTCCTGCCTGCTGACCAACCCAGTCCTAAAAGGTGTTTCGAAGATCTGACTCCGGATTGCATACGGACGAGGCCGCCAGAGGGCAGCGCAGCGGCACCAACGAGGCGGCCCGCGGCCGTCCCTCGGCCGTCCGGCGCCCCCGGCTCTCCCCCAGGGAGGCCGCCACAGGTCACCTCGCCCCCTTTCTCGGCCTGGTGTCTTCACTGACTGACGTCTGGGAGGGATGGACAGAATGGTTTGTCAAGCTCCTTCTAGTCCTGACTTGCCCAGTTTAGACACAGGGGGTCGCGTGGACTGACTTCGCCATCTCTCCCGCCACCAAAGAGCATGTCATAGAAAGGACACTTTCCCCAGCAGGCTTTGCAGCCAGCAGCGTAGCGGACTGGGAAGAGCGCAAGGGAAGGGAAGCTAGGGAAGCGTCCTAGGAGGGAGGCGAGCATTTGGGGCTGTAAGTACTTTTTTTCGTATCACAGGCTCGTCCAAGTCCCTCACCCTCCTTCCCCATCCCGGCCTTGCTCTGGACTCCTTTTCAGGGGTCCGGCTGGGACAGAAACCGCCCAAGCAGCAAGTATTGTACTCCTGGGGCATGCCTGGACCCGGTGAAGTTACACGTTGACCTCACAAAGCCATTCCTCTGAAATGGTCCCAGCTCCTCTAAGACCCTTTTTCCCTCATTGCCTGAAATCTGCTGTAGAAGTAACAGTTTCTGGAGGGAATGAAGACTTGCGGTGGTTCTTTCCAGGCACCAGGCTGTGAGATTCTTAGGGACGAAGGGAATCCCCTCAAGGGCAAGATAATGGCACATTAAGGTCAGAGGAGTTCTTAAAGGGCAAAGATTTCATTTTATTCCACTGCCTTCGGGGCCTGCTAGAGGCGGCCCAGTTGGTACAGTAATACTTATTCACCAAGCTGGTCATCGGCGAGACTGAGGATATCCTAGACGGAGCAAGAATGGGCAGAGGCTGAAGGTAGAGGTTTTTGTTTTATATATACAAGACACATTAATCCATTAAATTTGAGGACACAGTACAAAAAAAAAAACAAAAACAAAAAACACTTCAACTAATTCATCTGACAATGCTGTTCATATTCATGACGCCATTTTGTTTGTTTTCCTAATAATAAAGGAGGAGACTTAGGGCTGTTGGGCTGATATATATTTGTGGGTCCCCCCTTCCCACCTCACCCAAACACCACCAGGGTGAACAGGAGGAGGGGAAGGAAGGGCAGGGCCCACAGCAAAGTTTCATAATCTTGAATGCAAGGGGGGAGGAGGAAGAGGAAAGGAAGAGAAAAAAAAAAAAAAAAGGAAAAAATACAAATCCTATAATACATACAACAGGGTGGGGATGGCATGGGAATGGGACAGACATGAAGCTGAGGCATGGGGTGGGCCACTGGGGGTGGGGGGCGGCGGAACCCCCCCACATTCCTTTCTCTCTTTTGATGCTGTTTCCATAGTAGCCAGGCTGAGAAGCCCTCTCAGAAGATGGGGCCGGGAGAAGAGGAGGGCCGGGGCCTCAGTTGGCCCCCCAGCTGTAGCTGTTGTAGGCAGACTTGTTGGTCTGGGGCTTCTGCGGGATGGAGCTGGTCTGGCTACGTTGCCCGCTGCCCGTCTGCAGGGGAATGGGAGGATCATGGGGAGGAAAAAGGTGTCTAGTTAGTGGGACAGATTTCTGACAGTTTCAGGTGGAGATACGGAAGTTGAACTCGCCCCCATTCCCCTTGCTTAGGGACTACTAGGCAGTTCACTTGTCAGCCATGGAAAGTTCTGGTCTACATAGCTGCTAGAGCCCCTCTGACAAGCAAGGCACTTTCATCCTTTAAATAGCGGAAAGATGAAATGAGGGCAGGATACCTTTGGAGACGAGATGGTCGGTTCTACTCATTTTCAATTCCACCTTTTCCCACCACCCCACTTCTTTCCGCTCTGGGAAAAGGCTGCTATCTGGGGAGAATTAAGACCTCTTGGGGATGAGAGATCATAAAGTCATTTCATTTTCACTGATGCCCCCAACTGCCTCAGTTTGGAATGCTGTCTCTGAAAGCGAGGAAGCCTTTGTTCCAGCTCCCCAGCCTCCTACCGTGGAGTGACCTGCACCATCCCACAGCACCTCAGCCCTATCGCACGCCACGTCTCTGAGCCCATTACAGACAAGGCCGGAGACAGGCTGAAGCCTCAGGGCTCCAGATGCTGCCCAAGAATCTTTCCATTCCAGTAACCAAGTGTTTTCCAGAGTTGGGGGAGGGGAGACAGAAAGAGAGGGCATTAAGGAAGAGGCAGAGTTGGCGGAGGGTAGACAGGAAGAGGGCATTAAGGAAGGGGAAAGCAGAGGGGAAGGGGAGGCCAGAGAACTCGGCAAGGTGTTTGTGTTCGTGTATCCCGATTTGTGACCGCGCAATCTCTTTCCTCTTCCAAGTTCCCTGAAGCTATGGAGGTGAAATGGGACTGAAAAGGAGTGGGTTCAAGCATATCATCGAGTTTCATTACCTGCTCCTCCTGCTGGCGCTGGCAACAGAGAATCATCTGCAAATATGGTAGCTGAGGCAGAACCAGGATATATGGAAAATAAAGGGACAAACTTTGACAACAGAACTCCACCATTAGAAGGGAAAGCTGTAATGTCGGGGGAGGGGAAGACCGGGAGAGGTAGGAGGGGAGGTGGAACCCAGGTCTGATGGGATGGAGACAAGTGTGTCACGGGAGGAGGCGGAGGGGAATCGCACCAGAGGAACTGGGCAAAAACGGTGTGTGGCCCCTTCTCTGACATCTTGGCCGGCCGCTCGTGTTATGTGCGCTTGTGTTTGCGTGTGCTGTGTGCCCATGGCTGGCGCTGGGGAGGCCTGGGTGAAGGTGGTGGTAAAGAAGGGAAGAGAAGGAAAGGGACAGGAGGAAGAGGAAGGGGAAGGCAAGAAGGGGAATTGCTATTACCTGGCCATCCTGCTGCAGGTGATGGTGAAGGATCTGGGAGTGCGGCTGCTGATGGGGGGTCAGAATGTGCATGAAGGGGGCAGGTGGGTAGGCAGCAGCTGTGGCCGGATTGATGGGCCCCCCACTTCCTAGGGCTGAAGGCAAGTTGAAAGAGGCAGCAGGAGTACCGGAATGAAAACCTTGTTTCTCAAAGGACTGCTATCCAGGAGGATGGGAGGAGAGAGAGTGACAGGATCAGCCAACGAATCCTTGGCATTTCTGAGCCCGAGCTCCCCCACCTTCAGAAAGCAGCAGTGGTGTCACAGAAGGAACACGCACCTAAAGTCAGGTATATGCAGGCCTGAGTCCCAGCTCCGCCCTTTAATATCCTGGGCAAATTACGCAATCTCGCAGCCTGTTTCCTGATACATAAACGGATGCTACTGACTTCACAGTTTTAAGGATCAAAGGAGAAAATAAATGGGAAAGCACTTTGTAAAACTTATGTCATATATGAACACTGCAATTTGCTGACTACTCTTAGTACCCCCACTGTGGAGTTGGGTGGAAATCAGAACTTCTTCGGTATTTCAAAAGAAACGAGTACACACAGAGGTTGAAGGCCTTGGCCACGAAGCACTCCCCCAAAACCTCTAATACTTTATATCAAATAAAAGTAACACACGTTACACAAGCCTGTGGATCATTCAGATGCCTGGCTTTAGTTACTGGGTCGTCTGCTTTCCCGCTTTGTTACAGATTTACTCACAAAGAATGGCATGAACTAGTTTCCCTTCATTCCATCCTCTCTCTCTCAGAAAAGTTAGGAAAAAGGTTGGGAGCAGGTAGGTAAAGGGCTAGGACAGTAAATCACATGACACATTACAACAATCTGCCACATCTCACCTTACTATAACATTTCTCTCGGGTTTTTCCCCCGCCAGAGGCTAAATTTAAACTTCTTAGAGACACTGAAGTCTAGAGAAAACCAGTCACTTTCTAGTAGGATGGGTTTTCTGACACCTCTCCTAGGGTTGGAGCCCTGGTAGCCCAGTGGTTAAAAGCTTGGCTGCTAACCAAAAGGCTAGCAGTTTGAATCCACCAGCTGCTCCTTGGAAACCTAATGGGGCAGTTCTACCCTGTCCTATAGGGTTGCTATGAGTCGGAATCAACTCGAAGGCACTGAGTTTGGTTTTCTGGTTTTCTCCTAGGGTTGTTCTTTTCTTTTTTTAATTGTACTTTAGATGAAGGTTTACAGGACAAACTAGCTTCTCATTAAACCATCAGTGCACATATTGGGCTTTTTTCTGACACTGGTTGCCAACCCCACAACATGTCAACACTCCCCCCTTCTCGACCTTGGGTTCCCCATTACCAGCTTTCCTGTCCCCTTCTGCCATCTTGTCCTTGCCCCTGGCCTGGTGTGCCCATTTAGTCTCGTTTTGTTGTACGGGCCTGTCTAATCTTTGGCTGAAGGGTGAACCTCAGGAGTGACTTCATTACCGAGCTATAAGGGTGTCTGCGGGCCATACTCTTGGGGTTTGTCCAGTCTCTGTCAGACCAGTAAGTCTGGTCTTTTCTTGTGGGTTAGAATTTTGTTCTACATTTTTCTCCAGCTCTGTCTGGGACCCTCTGTTGTGATCCCTGTCAGAGCGGTCAGTGGTGGGAGCCGGGCACCGTCTAGTTGTGCTGGACTCAGTCTGGTAGAGGCCGTG